GTGTGAAAGGTTGAACTTGAATTGTTTATTTTAACTATGTAATTTAGTTATAGCTTAAAGGAAATCCAAGCTGAGACTTATCTCCAGCTGTTGTCTCTTTAATCTTGTCCATTTGGTGCTCAAGATTAGTTTTCCAGAATTTTCTATTTTATGTCATATAGTACATTCCATTAGTCTTTTTCTCTGCAGGAGACCTTCCTTGTTCTTTATCTTTCCCTTATTTCTTTTTCAGGTTTGGACCGATCTAACAAGCAGAATGGCAGACTCAACAGAGGACGCTCTTACTACAGCATTTTCCCAGGTAGTAAAATATCCTCTTCCAAGGAAACCTCTTTAGATCCTCGTTACAGAAATACTCATTATAAAACTGATCTCTCTTACAGATGCTAACCATTGCAGCTACTGAACCTATAGGTCTCCTTTACTCAGTCCCCCCACAAGCAACACTAGAAGGATCTCCCACAAAAGACTCTGGAGGAGATGGGGAGTCTGATTCTCCAGAGTCAAATTTACTGGATAAGGGATCGGCAAGGGAAAAGTCTGGTTCTTCTGGGGAAGAAACTGTTGCAGGGCAAGAACCGACAATATCAGAATGTGACAATAACGATCTGTGGAAACAGCTAGATTTTGAAAAGATTTACAAGTATATGTCAAAAGCGGCAAAAGGAGGACCTCTTCCAAAGTTATCTACAGAAGGTAAGGTATATCAGAAAGGCCTTTGGCAAATGTCAGACAGGTAGCTTTGAGATGTGTGAATTTGTAAGAGAAAGTATGACAATATTTTTTTGTTTTTTGTAGAGTCGGCTGTTCTCCTGCACCTTCTCCACTCTCTACCAGACCAGTTGCAAAACTTGGACTGTAATTCTCTTGGCTCTTATCTGTGTGATAAATATGCTTCACTAAACGCACACCCTGATCTAGAAGAAACAGATACGTCTACAGACCAACCCAACGGAGGGTGGAAGGACTTGGGATATTGCCCTTTAAACCCTTTCCTGATACCATTGGAACTTTTGAGATTGAAAGAGAGAGACTGACTCTTTTGGAATACTGTTTTCTCTTCCCTTTACCCAGTATGTGAATCCTTCTCCATGTTAAACTCTGGAAATCAATTACTATAAATCTTTTGATATGACAAAGAGTCTCAGATTTGCAGACTTCTACAGTCTCTCGCATGCTTTTCATACTTAAGTTTTGGCATGTTCTTCCTAATTACTGAACATAAAATAGCTTATTTGGAAAAAATGGCAGTTTAGGCACAAGGTGAGATGTAAATAAAGATGTACCATCTTTGACACTTTTTCAAAGACACCATCGGCTACTTTGACAAGACTCTTTGTTTAGTTTTGGTCACAATAAATAAAGAAAGCCTGTGATACAGACTGTATAAAGAAATCTGAATTTGTTTGGACCTTGATAACCTGTGACTCTTATTTAAGATCGCACTTTGTCCAAGTGTTAGTGACAGGTGAGTTATGTTACAGGGTTTAGACTTATTTTCAGTTTCCAAGAAGCTCCAGAAACTGGGGACGTAAAACCGATTTCTAAAACAATCCCAAAGTCAGCTGCCAACTTAGCACGTCAATTTTTTCGAAGTAGTGCATGAAAAAATAGTAACTGGAGTGCACCAGACACTCGGTACTGTAATCAAAATATTTATATGTACTCCAATAAAAATGAACAAAATACTGTTATACAATGCTAGTCAATCTAGCAGTTATTATATAATGTAACGTAAGAATTTATAGTAACAATTTTTATTCGTAAAAACAGATTTGACACTACCTGCTCTCTACAATTAAAGGTAAAGATATTTAATCAGAAGCCTGAACAAACTTTCATAATATATAGTTACAGTAATTACACTGGAAACAACCCCTTCTAAGCTAATAGAAACAGCGAATTCTATTGTATATCCTCTTGCAATAATTGCCAAACTTTTCCCTGTAGAGTTATGGACTGTGTGCTTCCGACAGCTTCCAGCATCTCAATGAAAGCAGAGCCAGAAACAAGATCTTTCTACACAGCCTGGTATTATATTTGATCCCTATCCAATAGTGTGCAGCAAGATGCTGTTCCCCAGCATAACCTCCGGGCAGGGCCGGATTAACATAGGGGCTGATGGAGCTGCAGCTCCAGGCCCATGGAATAGGCCTATAAAAAAAAAAACTCTTTTTTTTTTTTTTTTTTTACACACTACTCTTACTCCACTGTCTATGGAGAGAGGCAGGGATAGGAAGTTACTGCATCTCCCTGCCTCTCCCTACTCACTGATCCACGAGGGAGCAGCTACACAGCACAGAGAGTCCAGACAGCAGCTCCCAGCCTGCAGAGACAGACTACAGCTCAGGTATGTGAAGGATGGCGGGAAAGGCAGCAGGGAGACATGGGGACACTGAGACACTAGGGGACGCTGAGACACATGGGGACACTGTGAAACATAGGGAGACACATTGGGACACGGAGACACCAGGGACACAGTGTCACCATGTCTCCCAGCCAGTGTTCCTAGTGTCTGTATCCCCATGGTTCCCAGTGTCCCCTAGTCTCCCAGTGTCTGTATCCCTCAGTGTCCCCATGTCTGTGTCCCCAAATGTCTGTATCCCCATGTCTCCCAGTGTCCACATGTCTCCCAGCCAATGTCTCCCAGTGTCCACATGTCTCCCAGCCAATGTCTCCCAGTGTCCCTATGTCTCTCAGCCAGTGTCCCTAGTGTCTGTGTCCACAAGTGCTCCCATGTCTCCCAGTGTCCAAGTGTCTGTGTCCCCATGCCTCCTAACCAGTGTCCTATGTCTTCCAGTGTCCCCTAGTTTCCCAGTGTCTGTGTTCCCATGTCTCTGTGTCCCTAGTGTCTTAGTTTTAACAAATGTCTGAGTCTCCATGTCTCCCAGTGTCTTTGTCCCCATGTATCTGTGTCCCTAGTGTCTGTGACCCCATTTCTCACAGTGTCCATAAATGTCTGTGTCCCCATGTCTGTATCCACAAGTGCCCCCATGTCTCTCAGTGCCCCCATGTTGCGGTAGAAGCTACTGTATGTTTAAGTAAAGTTCAGTACTCACATGGTTAAAACTACTGTGTAACTATCTTTGACCAGGGCGCATGTGTGGAATGTCAGGAACGCCCACTATTAGATAACACATGTAAAAGATACATTTTAGTTTAATAATTGGATGTCATTTTTGTATCCTCTGTATACATATGGAATAAGTAATTTGTGGTATATATTCTTTGTTCTCTTGTAAACGTGTGCTCAGTTGGGTATTCCAAGACTATTGTCTGACTGAGACATTTGCAGCTGCAAATAAATCAATGTTGCTTCATGGAATCCCTCTCCATTCTCTTATGTGCTTCTCAAATAGGAGCTGCAACAATGTCTCTCAGTGCCCCCATGTGTCAATGTCCCCGGGTCTCTCAGTATCCCCTAGTATCCTAGTGACACGGGACACACTAAGACATGGGGACACTAGGGGACTGGGCGACATGGGGACACTGACACTGTGATACATAGGGACACTGATGCCAGGCTGGCCTTCCAATTCTTTGGACAGACATGCCCCCTTTTTGGCATGTTCTCCCCTTTTGGCAGTTCTGGTCACGTGATTTGCGTCAGTGGCACACCCTTTTACCCCGCCCACTGACTTCCTGCTTCACTGGACACTGCTGTTAGGGGGTATGGATTTACTTGAAAGATGAAAGCATACATTAGAGAGAGATTAGCATAGAGTATGTGTTTTCTTATAGCTGCATCCTTTGAATTTCCCTCCAATACCAACTCCATCAGATACATGACGCTTGACACTGTTTGTGTTTTTGGTCGTTAAGATTCTGTAATTAGGCCCCATCATAATTGTCAGCACCAGGCCCACTGGGCTCTTAATCCGGCCCTGCCTCCGGGCAGTCACCTGGGGTCGCTATACTACTAATCTTTGCTTTTATAAAAGACGACTGTGTGGCTAGGCCATGGGAGCCTGGGGAATCCTTGGTTTGTGTTAACTTTCAAACAGTTGAACACATAACAGAGGATGGTGCCAGTATCCTGCTAGCACTGCAAGTACTACAATGAGCAGCAGTGGTTATGGTGCTCAGCGGGGGAGTGACAGTGCTATAGATGGTATAGTCTCATTCACATTTCCTGTTAGGTAAGTACGCTAGTGAATGAAAGTGAGTATTACAAAGTAAAGTTCAGTCCCCTGTGTCCCTGGTTACAATGGATCAAACACAGAGAGAGTGGGAGAGACTGTGATTCAGAGAGTGGGAAAGAGACAGTGAGACAGAGACACTGAGTGAGAGACAGATTGAATGTGGTACAGTGAGTGTGATTCAGACAATGGGAGAGACAGTGAGTGTGATAGAGACAGTGACTGACAGACAGTGGGAGAGACAGTGAGTGACAGAGAGACAGTGAGTGACAGACAGTGAGTGTGATGCAGTGAGTGACAGTGAGACAGTGAGTGTGATGCAGTGAGTGACAGTATCCATGTTGTCTATCACAGAGGCTCCAACTGATTTGAGTTCCCTGCCTCTCTCTGTATCATGTGACCTCAGTATAACTTGGTCCATGTGACATCACAGCTCCTATAGCTGGGAACTAGCCACTATCTGCTTCTCTTTGTATCACTGATAATGTTAGAATCCCTCCAATCAGAGCTTCCTTTATAAACTGCTTCTAGAATGTGACTGTGTGACTGGGAGCAGTGTGAGAGTTCGGGGAGAATCCTGCAAACTGAAAGCTGTGCTCTCATTGGCTAGTGGGCGTGTCATATGCAAAATAAGCCATTCTGTTATTTCACTCCAACAATCATGTTACTAATGTATAAAACCATTGAAAAATCCTCTGGAACAGTTCAGGTATTATTCTCCAAACTTTTATTTGATACTATTGTTTATATTTGTGTAAGTATGAAATGTACAGAATGTCACCACATGTTTAATAGAAACCTTTTGCAGCCTGTCCTTTGCTTGTAGTAAAGGTTTGTTAAGACTATACTTTCAGGGATCATTTCTATAGTTTGTAACTGGTGAAATGTGCTCTAAAGTGTCTAAACTCAGTATCCACGAGGAAGAGCTTGAGTGTTTTCTTCTGAGCGTGAAGTGGGCTCCCAGTGCTGCTTTATTGTAGCTGCTGGTTGCTGTTGATGACCGTTCCTTTCTCCTTAATTGGAGAGTAGGAGGGAGAGAACACAAGCTGAGTGGTTACTTGTTAATTGGTTGAAAAAAAAATAGGTATTATGATAAATGTAAAGAGGCGTTTGGGTGATATCAATAGATAAAGTCTTGAAGTAGTAACCTGAAATTCCGAAACGCAAGTAATTATTTGATATATAAATTGGTTGAATTGTGAGATAGTTATTAACAATAAGTATGATGAATTTATACGCTATTTATCTGTAAGAAGTAGTGTGTGTGTGTTCGGACAGTTGAGGTTTCATAGCGTTCATGCTCCATCTATTGGCAACTGCATGTATTTCATTTCATGTGAACCTTTCACTGTGATTATTTCATTTGAAGGTTAACCCCTTCCCGAGCGCAGTAAGAAATTTTCCGTCAACCTTGGCCTTCAGTTAAGTTAATTTCCGTTAACCCCAGATCGCCGCAATCGTGAAGTTAATGGTGCTCCGATCTGCCTCTGTATGAGAGGCAGACTGAGAGCACCCGATCGATCTGGCTGCCCCAGCACAGGTGCTTGCTCTGACAGGCTGTACTTACCTTCTGTCTCCCTGCACCTCCAGGTTCTGTGTGAAGTGCAGGGAGATGGATCAGAGCTGATCCTCTTCTCCCTGTGTAAAAAATAAATAAAGTTAAATCCCACACCCCCCCCTTTCCTCTGCTTTAATAAAATGAACCCCTTCCCTGCCAATTGATCACTCAATTGGCAGGTTTTAATGTCATCTGATTTTTTTTAACCCCTGAGGGTTAATTTTTTTTTTAAATTTATTTTATTAATTAATTTAAATATTTAAAAATTATATATTTAGCTAGCTGGGATGGGTGGACATTAGTGGGGAAGTGGGGAATGTTTGTGACTAAGTGGCTACTAGGAAAGACTGGGCATACCCCACTTGCAATACCTTGGGTTGTGTACTTTTGAAAATGGTATGCCATCATGTGGGTAATTCTCATTCCTGGGCTACCATACGCTCTCAAAGGCAACATAAACAATCTGGCAAATTTCAATGTCAAAAAAATGGAATGCAAGCCTTATATGTGATTCTCTAAATTTCCAAAACACCATAAAACCTGTACATGGGGGGTACTGTTATTCTCGGGAGACTTCACTAAACACAAATATTAGTGTTTTAAAACAGTAAAACATATTACAACAATAATATAGTCCATAAAAGTGCCGTTTGTTTGTAAAAAAAAATGCAAAAAACATCACTTTTACTTAAAATATCATCGTTGTAATACAATTTACCAGTTTGAAACACTAATAGTTGAGTTCAGCGAAGTCTCCTGAGTAAAACAGTACCCCCCATGTACAGGTTTTTTGGTGTCTTGGAGAGTTACAGGGTCAAATATAGTACTTGCGAATTAAATTCTCTGCACTTTCTCCCTGTGTTGTCAGGCATGTCAATCAAATTTGAATTAATTAAATCACATAATTATGTTAAAAGTTACTTAAATATATACGTAGAATTTTAATATATATGCATTTATAAGTATTTAAATTCTACGTGTATACTAATGAAATCTTTTATGTAATTATATGTATTTAATTATATGTGGTTATTTGTATTTTATATATAGATAGATATATATAGAATGTCATTCTAAGTGTATTTGGTTACCAATATATTTATATTAATAACAAAATACAGTTAGAATGAAATTACATATGAATATATAATTAATATGAAATTTTGTTTCAATATTTTATTTATTAATTTTATTTTATTTATTATTGTAATTATACGTGTATATATCTATTTTATATATATATATATATATATATATATATATACATATATATATGTAACGTCATTCTGTGTAATCTCTAATCTCTAATGTAATATTACTCATGCGCCATCTGTTGGCAGGAAAGAGTAATTTCTGTAATCTAGTTTCACTCTTGCGCCATTTTGTTGGCTGGAAAGTGTAATTTCTGTAATCTAACATCACTCTTGCGCCATCTGTTGGCAGGAAAGTGTAATTTCTGTAAACTAATATCACTGTTGCGCCATCTTTTGGCAGGAAAGTGTAATTTTTAACATCACTCTTGCGCCATCTGTTGGCAAGAAAGAGTAATTTCTGTAAACTAATATCACTCTTGCGCCATCTGTTGGCAGGAAAGTGTAATTTCTGTAATCTAACATCACTCTTGCGCCATCTGTTGGCAGGAAAGTGTAATTTCTGTAATCTAATATTACTCTTGCGCCATCTGTTGGCAGGAAAGTGTAATTTCTGTAATCTAATATCACTCTTGCGCCATCTGTTGGCAGGAAAGAGTAATTTCTGTAAACTAATATCACTCTTGCGCCATCTGTTGGCAGGAAAGTGTAATTTCTGTAATCTAATATTACTCTTGCGCCATCTGTTGGCAGGAAAGTGTAATTTCTGTAATCTAATATCACTCTTGCGCCATCTGTTGGCAGGAAAGTGTAATTTCTGTAATCTAACAATACTCTTGCGCCATCTGTTGGCAGGAAAGAGTAATTTCTGTAAACTAATATCACTCTTGCGCCATCTGTTGGCAGGAAAGTGTAATTTCTGTAATCTAACATCACTCTTGCGCCATCTATTGGCAGGAAAGTGTAATTTCTGTAATCTAATATCACTCTTGCGCCATCTGTTGGCAGGAAAGTGTAATTTCTGTAATCTAACATCACTCTTGCGCCATCTGTTGGCAGGAACGTGTAATTTCTGTAATCTAACATCACTCTTGCGCCATCTGTTGGCAGGAAAGAGTAATTTCTGTAAACCAATATCACTCTTGCGCCATCTGTTGGCAGGAAAGTGTAATTTCTGTAATCTAACATCACTCTTGCGCCATCTGTTGGCAGGAAAGTGTAATTTCTGTAATCTAACATCACTCTTGCGCCATCTGTTGGCAGGAAAGTGTAATTTCTGTCATCTAATATCACTCTTGCGCCATCTGTTGGCAGGAACGTGTAATTTCTGTAATCTAACATCACTCTTGCGCCATCTGTTGGCAGGAAAGGGTAATTTCTGTAAACTAATATCACTCTTCCGCCATCTGTTGGCAGGAAAGTGTAATTTCTGTAATCTGATATCATTCTTGCGCCATCTGTTGGTAGCTGTATGTTTTGCATTCCTTTTGAAACCACATTCGGTTTATATTTCTCTCTTGCATGTTAAGTGTGAACATACTGAAATGCAGGGCCGGACTGGGGATACAAAGCAGCCCTGGAAAAAAAATTTGTGCCAGCCCCATAAGTCACTGCGCCATATATTGTCGTGTGTAATATGTAAGGCTATGTCTTGCCAGGACAGATGATTGAGTAATATATATATTGCTTTTTCTAATATAAAATATTGGTCCTTTCAGGGTAAAACGTTTAATTATACAGTAAGCATACTCACATGCACACACAGGCAATTTCACTGACCTCTCAATGACACACACAAGCTCATTGATACACAGCCTCATGGACAAACAATCTCACTGATATACATCAGCTCATTGACATAAAAACACAAGCTCACTCACGAGCAGATGCACACACACAGCTTAATGTGTGTCTATAGCATGTCGCTACAGGCTTTTCAACGGAAACACTGACTTTTCAGAGAAAAGGCAGTGTTTAAATTGCTTCAAAGTGACACTGCTAGTGACAGTCACTCAGACGGTCACTAGAGGTGCTTCCTGTGTTAGTGCACCTACATTCCGGGCCTACGAGGAGATGCTGATTGGAGTGGCGTTTTGCAGCCAATCCTATGGCAAAGCATTGGATTGGCTGAGATCATCAAGCTTGATGATCTCAGCTATAGAGGCAGGGCCAGTCGAGGGGAGACCAGCACGCTGCGTGGGGGGAAAAAAGGTGAGCAAAAACACTATTTTTAAACACACATTTACACCATGACAGACACAGAAACACACATATACCATGACAGATACACACCCTATGACAGATACACACCCCATGACAGACACACACACACACACACACACCATGACAGACCATGACACAGACAGACACACACACCTTGACACAGACACACACCCCATGACAGACAGACAGACACACACACATCCCATGACGGACAGACAGACACACACACCCCATGACAGACAGACAGACAGACACACACACATCCCATGACGGACAGACAGACACACACACCCCATGACGGACAGACAGACACACACACCCATGACGGACAGACACACACACACATGACAGACAGACAGACACACACACACACCCCATGACGGACAGATAAACACACACACACCCCATGACGGACAGACAGACACACACACACCCCATGACGTACAGATAGACACACACACACCCCATGACGGACAGATAGGCACACACACACCCCATGACGAACAGACACACACACACACACACCATGACGGACAGACAGGCAGACACACACACACACACACCAGACAGACACCATGACACAGACAGACAGACAGACACACACACACACCATACAGACAGACACCATGACACAGACAGACACACACACACCATACAGACAGACAGACACCATAACACAGACAGACAGATTACTAATACCTGCCAGGGGGAGGTCTTCTGGAGGCCGCTGGGGAGGTCTTCTGGGGGCATCTGGAGGCCGCTGGGGAGGTCTTCTGGGGGACTTGTCCTGGCGGCCGCTGGGGGAGATGCGCTGGCTCTGCTCTCCCGCCCTCGCGCGCTGCTGAATGAGACCGGCGCCGGAATATGACATCATATTCCGGCGCCGTTCTCATTCAGCTGCCCGCTGGAGAGCAGAGCCAGCGCATCTCCCCCAGCGGCCGCCAGGACAAGTCCCCCAGCGGCCTCCAGAAGCCCCCAGAAAACCTCCCTAGAGGCCGCCAGCAGACCCAGGTGTCTGCCCGGCCCCAGGTGCCGACGGCCCACCGGGAAATTTACCGGTATCCCGGTGGGACAGCCACTAGAGGCGCTTCCGCGATTCTCACTGTGAAAATCACAGAGCGAAGACACTGCCGTCCATAGGAAAGCATTGCGTAATGCTTTCCTATGGGCGGTTTGAATGCGCATGCGACTCTGGCCGCACATGTGCATTCGGAGCTGACGTCAGGAGGAGGAGAGGTCACCAGTGCTGAGGGAGCCCGACGCTGGAGAAAGGTAAGCGGCTGAAGGGGTTAACAGCCCGGTGGGAGGGGGGCCCTGAGGGTGGGGGGACCAAATGACCCTATAGTCCTG